GGCTGAGACAGAGAAAGAGAGAGAGTAACAAAGAAAAACTGGGATGAGAGATTGAAAAAAAACCAACCCACCAATTAATCGGGGAGAGCATTTAAATTGAGAATCTCCGTAGACATTTAAAATGGGGAGTTTTATTGCCTCAGAAATCACATCTGACTGACTTGAGCTGGCAGTGGGAGGCTAGAAAAAGCTATGAGGTTTAGCTTAGACCCAATGAAGACACAAGTTGGCAAGCTAAATCAAAGGCAGAAGACTTATTTTTCTGCCCTTGAGACTAAGAACAAAACCAATGGGTCCATATTTTAAGGGAAAAAAAGGGCAATTTGGCCTGGGGTTTTGGTAGAACTTCCTGGGCGAGACAAGCAGTTCATAATAATAATAATTGCCTCAAAGGAGGGAGGACTTTCCCAGTCTACAACTTTCAGAATCTGCCACCTGTTGTGAATGCTGAAGTAATGTTGGCTTTATCTCTTTAGCAAAGAGCTTGTCTTGATGCTCTTCAAGGTATCTTCCAGCACATTCTCAGACCTTCTCTGGTGTCTGTTAGAAGGACAATGTTAGTAGGTCGGCATCAATGGAAAAGCTTTGCTTCGCTGCTGCCCCCTTCTTTCTTTTATTGAAAACTTTAGGACTTCATCTATTTTTTTGTGACTAGAAAGATTAATGCAAAAGTGGATAATAAATATTCAAATTCTCCAAATCTGAAGAGTGCCATAAACAAGATGCCCAAGAAGGAATTCTTTGTATGTTCTTGCTTCACATTTTTCCCCTCTGTATCAAAAGTAAAATGAATTGCAGACTGTTTTTAAGATTTATTTGAAGGTCATCCAGTGTTATCCTTAAATGATAGTTCTCAAGCAGGGATATGATTTGGTTTATTGTCTTTGGGGAGGCTCAAAGAAACATGAAATGCCAAGTCATTCTTGGTTCATCCAGCACATTAGTGCCAACACGAACTGAAGTAGGTTCTCTTGAGTTTTGGGCGGGAGTTACTCCAGACTCTAACTCCAGATGGTCGGGAGTTGAAGCTGTAGCATGGAGCTGTGGACACCACTCCACCCTGGTCCATATTTTGATCATTCACTCTCCTTTCAACTTCTCCAGAGTGTGCTGTAATATTTAAAGCAACTAGGAAGCTCTCCAGATGTATCAACATCAACGCTCAGAATTTTGGAACCTGCAGATCCAAAGTCAATTGCTTTGTAGTGGCAGATTAGGATTTTGGAGTGGGGGATGGGGTCTCATAGGGCATTTCATGCAAGGTTTTTTTGCACCAGGAAAGAATCAGTTGTAGGCCCAGTTGTGTCCTGGGAGGGTACACACCAACTGTGCTCTATCTGACACCACAAAAGATCTGGTGGTTTTGGGTTCAGGTTATGAAGAGCTTGTGGGTAGTTCCAATTCTTTGCTTCATCCCACCATCTGACTCCTTCTTCTACCACCCTAGAAGTTCAACCCTTGAGGTTCAGCCAAACCGCCAGATCAATGCAAATGAAAACAACCCCACATTTGGTTTAACCTGCTTTTGAGGAATTTGGAGTAGAGGTTGTGGTAATGGGAGTGTGCAATCAGCCTCACCTGCCTCATAAAGTCTTCTGAAAAGAACATTAAAGGCAGAAACTGTGCCAATTATTATCATATAATAAAAGTTAACTACTTGTGGTTGGATTTTGCAATAGTTATGTACCTCTAAGCATACGGGATGTCCAGAGTTATTTGAGGACACCTTTCTTTCTTTCACATCTCATGGATATTCTCATTTAAAGCCTGTAATTGGCCCAGACCAAGGAAACAACCAGGTTTAAAGAGCATAAAAGGTCCATGACCATCCTTCTCCATCTCACAAACCTCACTTCTTTCTAGCACTGATGGTGTTCTCTAGTTGGGCAATGAAACACTTATAAGAGAACAACCAAGCTCAGAGAGCACTGTGGATTCTGTGATGAACATGTAATTGGTAAAATGGAAACATCTGTTGAAAAACTGTGGGTTGGACAAAAAAGCTCTTTGCAACTCTTTCTTTAAGAATCATCCTTTGAAGGTGAAATAGTTTGAAGGTGAGCTGTCCAAGGTTTAACCTCAATTGAAAAAAACTTGAACCTGTGATAGTTTCTCTCTCTCTCTTAGCCATATCTCTGATTTCTATTAGCCGTTTGGGTGATTTTGAGCCAATTACCAGGAGACTGTGAGTTCTAGTCCCTTAGGCATGAAAGCCAGCTGGGTAACTTTTGGCCAATCTCCAGGAAATGGGGAGTTGTAGTTCCTCCTTAAGTATGAAAGCCGATTGTGTGACTGTTGGCCAATCGGCAGGAGTGGGTGAGTTGTAGTTCCTCCTTCAGTATGAAAGCTAGCTGGATTTCACCAGGAGATGGGGGAGTTATAGTTCTGCCTTAGGCACGAAAGCTGACTGGGTGAACTTTGGGCCAATCACCAGGAGAAAGTGAGTTCTAGTCCCACTTTGGGCATGAAAGCTGGTTGGATGATTTGGGGCCAGTCGCTCTCTCTCAGCCCAACTTGTTATAGAAATCCAAATAAGCAAATGAACATTCATTGAAAATCCATGGTACGGACAGAAATTCTGCCTCTTTAGTAAACCCAAGATCATCTTCCCATGGCATGGGCATATGTGAGTGTGAGTGAGTGATCGAGATCAAGATCCTAATCTAACTTAAACATAGTCTGCACCAAAGCCAAAAGGGATAACAAAAATCTGACCTCTCTGATAAAATACCTAAAATATGAGAAAAGTGCTGAAATGGTTTCATACAATGCCACCAAATCCAGCTGTACGGAGACGTGAATGCAAATACTTTTGTCGAAAATTCCTGTCGAAACAAGTCTTGATTGTTACTTGACTCCCAAATATTTTCAGACTGGTTTTTTCTTGGGAGGCAGCTTCAAAGTCGTCTCTCGCAGATACTACTTGTGTGCGAGATAAATCTCCAAGCCATGATTTGCACGAGACCCCTACCTCTGAAATAGTCTTCAAAATGCGTTGCCAAATGTTTTAACATCAGGGGAATATTGTAGACTGTTGAATGGAAGAAGTATAAATGCACGAACTCAGTTCATACTCAGTTTGCAACAGTCCCCAAAACCTTTTCCATAGCTTTGGTGCAGCTGGGTTGGTGCATCTTCTGATACAAGGCAAGGTCTTGTTTTCTCAGAGGGCTTGGAAGAACTTACGATTAAAGGGGGCAAAATTTGTGGCCATATAAGAAGAAAGTCTTGTGTTCACAGCAGGCTGTTTTCTGTCCTGTCTCATGCACAGAGGTGGATTTGTGGCTGTGCAGAGGCAGATAGATAATTCCACAAAACATCCATAACAAAGTACATTTATTGGTACATCAGGTATCTTCATAACTCACATTTGTGATGAAGCTCTTCTATAATGACCAATCCTTTGTATATCAGCATTGCAGGTAAAAGATGGTTCTTTTCCTAACCCATCACGTAGTGGTAAGCTGCTTATCAGTTCATGAGTCCAGGCAAGAATGGAGGAAAACCTCCCTCAACCCCTCAAGGGTCAATTTAGTGACCAATCGGGATTACAGATGTAGCCACATGATAGGAACTACATTTCCCAGGATACCTTTAACTACATTTACCATGATGCATTCTCTTAAGCGGACAGCTCACAATTCCTAAGTAACTAACCAATTCCCATAGACCAGCTGGCACAGCACAGGCTGGAAGAACTTCTTACAAACTAGAGGGGCAAAGTTTGTGATCAAGGAAAGGTAGAAGGTTTTCTCATCACCTGGTTGATATTGTGCATGGTACTTAGGTCTTAGATCAGGCCTTCTCCTTGGAGACACTGAATCAAAGAGATGGGAATTGTGTATAACAGAGAAGACAATTCATGATGTGGGATTGACAATTTTTTTCCAGTAGGGGAGATGAAATGGTTGGTGGGACATGTGGTGGGCTGGGCTGAAGCACATCCTTGGTGAAACCCATGCTAAAATTGAGTGGATGCTACAGTTCTCCCCACTTCTCATGTTCTCTGTGACTTCTCCTTCTCTTTTGGACAGACTGCAGGAAGGGCAAAAGTCATGTTCACAAGGATGTCAAAAGAGATGTCATCATTTTGGAAGCTCATCGAGAATGTATCCAAATGTATCAGAGCCATATCTAAGGGCCTTCAGCAAGGGTCTTCAAACTTGGCAAGTTTAAGACTTGTGGACTTCAACTCCCAGAATCCCTCCTCCAGTCATGTTAGCTCAGGAATTCTGGGACTTAAAGTCCACAAGTCTTAAACTTGCCAAGTTTGAAGACCTTTGCTATAGATGAGAGAGATGAGAGATGGATGGATGGATGAGTAGACAGACAGAGATGGATGGATAGATGATATAGATAGATGAGAGGTAAGTATAGATAGATATAGATGATAGATAGGTACGGTAGATAGATCGTAGATGATATATAGATGTAGATGATATAGATCAAGGCTCTTCATACTTGGCAAGTTTAAGACTTGTGGACTTCAGCTCCCAGAATTCCTGAGCTAACATGACTGGAGGAGGGATTCTGGGGGTTGAAGTCCACAAGTCTTAAAGCTGTCAAGTTTGAAGACCCCTGGCCTACAGGAACACCATCTTAGTTTTGCTTGAAAAATGTTACTGCTTTTAGTGTTGCTACGAAAGTTCTATTGCAAACAATATTATTGTTTGTTATTATCTATTATTGTAAACAATAATAGGAGATTTTTTTTCAATGGCCCATCTGAAAAGCAACCATTTACAGAATAATTATTACTTAAAAAAAAAAAGTAGAATTCGTGATGCTGGGTTTCAACCACCATTCATGATCCTGGAAGAAAGAACCAGGAAGTCAAAATATTGATTCCCCGTGGGGGAAGAAAGCTGGCTAAAGAACTGAATGTTGGTTCAATGACACTTTTTTCGAATACCCCAAGTATAAAGTAATCCTTCATCTGAAATCCTGAAAATTTGACGTCTTTTTTTTTGTGTGTGTGTGTTTGTGTGTGTGTGTTTTAGGTTATGATGATACAGCAGAAACCAATCTAATTTCTCGCCCCATCCACTCAGCCAAGCTGTTGCAAGACAACCACCCTAGAACTATTCGCAGAAAAAGAAGCGTTGGTAAGAATTTTATTTTTTAAGAGTAAATCTTTGGAAGGACTTTAGTGGCTGGTGTAGAATTTATTTATTTTTTAAAAAAAAAGCATAAGAGAGGAAATTATTTTGCAAACAAATAGAAAAGAGGGTGCATGCTATTGTGTTTTTATTTTTTATTTTTTTTCTTCAGTAGTTCGGTCATCTTCCAGGGTTATAATATACTGGAAAAATGCCTGACATTCAATTTTCATGTTCCTGCATGCTCCTGGTGAAATCTGAGCGAGAGAATGTGGTGCTGGTAGTTCTTTCAGTTCACTGATTTGCAACTAACTGGGGTTCTTCAAAAAATGAATGGAATAACAAGACTTCCCTCTTGCAAGAGGGATTGTTTGCTGACCCTTTCTCCTGACTCATGGCTCACTTTCCCTTCCATTGGGAAAAAGCAGATTTTCTGCTTCTCTGGGTCCTCTTGTCAGACCTCAGTTCTCTCAGGGTGTGTTCCATAATTCTTCATTCCTTGGGGACTCTACCTCTTGTACCTCTGTCTGGGTTCCATGTTTGCCAACTTTTTAAGCAGAATGTAGAGACTGTGTTGAGAATATAGGCAATTCTCGACTTCTAGCCACCATTCAGTCAGAATTTCCATTGCTAAACAAGGCAATTGATAAGTGAGTTGCATCCAATAATACAACATTACGAGGAGGAAGAGGATAGATCTAGTTTAATGAGAAGGAGGACAAGGGGTGTGTGTGACATGATAGCAATGCTCCAATATCTCGGGGGCTGCCACATAGAAGAGGGAGTCAAGCTATTCTCCAAAGACAGCAATGGATGGAAACTAATGAAGGAAAGAACCGAGAAATAAGAATATTTTTTTTTCTGACAATTAAAAAAATATTAATCAATGGAAGGACTTGCCTCCAGAAGTTGTGGATGCTCCAACACTGGAGGTTTTTAAGAAGAGATTGGACAACCATTTGCCTGAAATCATCTAGGGTTTCCTGCCTGAGCAGGGGGTTGGACTAGAAGACCTCCAAGGTCCCTTCCAACTCTGTTAATGTGTTAGATGATTAGGAAGACGAGGAATATCAACAGCCTTTATAGACCTCCTTTCTTCTGTAAAACTGCAGGGCATCCATTTGATTGTCCTCTAGATTTATCTTCAAAAGAAACCCATGGGATGAATTGGGCTGAGAAAGAGCATCTTTGGTGATCAAGTGGAAACTTGAATTTGGCTCTTCCCAGGCCAAGACCAATATTAGGAATTTTCAATTTTAGGAACTGGTTCAGCCACCTATTTACGTCAAATACATTCACTGCCAAAATATACTATGATGAGCATCCCATCTCGGGGAATGAATTGCCACCAGAGTTGAAAAAAAAATAGTAGTAACAGAGAAGTAACAGAGCGGTAAAGTCGAATATAGTTGGGTGCAAAAAGAATGGAAATTACTATAAATAGATATATTTCCAGCTCTTTTGCTGTTGCTCGTATAAGTTGGGGTTTTGTTCTTACCCTAGTTTGTGAAGCAGCCTATGAAGGGATGGAACAGGACAGAAGTTTCCTGGGTTGAATATAAGAGAAGAACAGACAGAGCTGGAGGGCAGAGTTAAATGAGTCATCAGCCTAGAGTCCTTTCGTTGCCACAAATGATTCAATTCCAACCCATTCTGAATTCAGTTAACCTTTATCTGGTGCCAATTTAGCACTGAACTGTAGTTGACCAGATTCTTGTCTATAGGCACGAGCAATACATATTGTGAGGTGCAACTTAATATGGGGTCCTGATTCTTTGCACCTGACTTAAATCGATAAAATAGGAACATGGGCACCCAGTCCCAAATAGCTATCTGATTCATCTGAATTTTCCCTGCCTTTCTTCAAGAACTCTGGCCAGTTTTTGGCAAATGAACCGTGGAGCAGAACTGAACCCAGGGCATTCTGTATGCAAAGCAAGTGTTCTATTATGAGCCATGGTGGTGCAGTGGCTAGAATGTAGAACTGCAGGCTACTTCTGCTGACTGCCGGCTGCCTGCAGTTCAGCAGTTCGATCCTGACCGTCTCAAGGTTGACTCAGCCTCCATCCTTCCAAAGTTGATAAATTACTGAGGGGCGATATGCTGACTTGTAAACCTGCTTAGAGAGAGAGATGTAAAAGCACTGTGAAGCTGTATATAAGTCTATTGCTATTCCCAACACCACATCACTCTTCTCATTTCACCTTTCTACAGAGGAAGCCATTCCTGCAGTCTGCAAGACGCGGACGGTGATCTACGAGATCCCTCGGAGTCAAATTGACCCGACTTCTGCCAACTTCCTGATATGGCCTCCCTGTGTGGAAGTGAAGCGGTGCACCGGATGTTGCAACACCAGCAGTGTGAAGTGCCAACCCTCGCGGATACACCACAGAAATGTCAAGGTGAGGGGAAGCAGAATGCTGTCTTATTGGGGCTGGGTATCCCACACCTGTCCTTTGCTGTCCTTTGAAAGAGTAGCCTGAGCGCCATCCAGAGTAGCAACTCTTCACATTTTCAACATGGGCAGCTGTTGGGAAACTCCCAGCTAGGCAGGAAGGAGGAGTCAAGCAGGGAACTAGCTTTGAATCCTTGCACAGCTGCAAGCGGCATTGTCCCCTCCAAGTTCCATGAAACCTTACCTTTTTGTTCCCAGAGAAGGCAAGTGTCATGGGTGGCATACAAGATAATTAATTCATTAATTAACTAATTAAGTGGGTTCCCCAAAACTCCATGGGGCAAATTAGGGGAAAAAAATGTCACTGCAACGAATCCCAGTGAAATCACAGGTTTTTAATTCACGAATGCAATTGTTCCGTCTAACCAGTGGTGGGATTCAATTTTTCTTTACTATTGGTTCTGTTGGCGTGGCATGGTGGGTGTGGTGTGGCTTGGTGGGCGTGGCAGGGGAAGGATACTGCAAAATCCCCCTTCCCTCCCCACCCCACTAACCTGCTTTCCAGCTCTGTTCTCCTGGGCAGGGCAACCAAAGAAGACCCAGCCGATCAGCTGGGACTCAATGGGAGGCAGAGAAGAGATGAGAGTGGGGCGGTCAGAGGCAGGATTTCCCGGTCCTGCAAACTACTCAAAATTTCCGCTATCGGTTCTCCAGAACTGGTCAGAACCTACTGAATACCACCTGTGCATCTAAATGCTAAAAAAAAAAAAGGCAATTGGGAGGCAATTTTTGCTGGGCCATGAGGTGTACAACAATCTTTTGGGGGGCTTCCCACTAGCCCTGGTTTCTGGGTGCCCTGGCTTCATAATCCGTGTGCTTCTCCCTTTTCTGCGCTAGCCCTTTGCAACATGTGAATGCAAACAGAAGGGCTAAACAGGAAACACCTTAAACACACAACCGGGGAGCGAGATAAGGTGGCTATTGTGTACTCTAGTGGCCAGTTTTGACTTCCTTGAGGTCAACCGCATTTCAAATTCTTTCTCGAGAATCTTTGCTTTCCTTTCTTCGCGGTTCCTTTTTGTAGAAACCAGCTGCCTCTGTCGTTTTTCTGGGTGGAATTCAAATAGAAGTGTTTGGATGGCAGACTGAAGAACGTTCAACCCCTTCTGATGGTTGTTTCTGGGAATAAATGAAGAATTAGGTTGTGCAGATTAATTGTGCCTGAGTGAGTGTGTGTGTGTGTGTGTGTGTGTGTGTGTTATGTGTTTGAGGTGGTGCTTTGCACCTCCTGGAGTTAGTTATAACCGGGGTGGGATTCTACCAGTTCACACCTATTTGCTAGAACCTGTTGTCAATATTCTGAGCAGTTCGGAGAACCGGTTGTTAGAAGAAATTATTGGCCTAATCCTGTAAGGAAGGCAGGAGGGAAACATTCTGGTGTTGCTTACAGAAACTGCCTCTCCATTAACCCTTATTACATTCTTGGCAGGACTAGACTTCCTGTCTCTGGAACTTCTCTGGAGTTTTTTCCCCCTCCTTTGCTGGCACTTTGCTTGTGTGGAGTGACCATTCAAAGTTACAATGGCACTGAAAAAAGTGACTTATGACCATTTTTCACAGTCATGAGAGGCCAGGCGAGGAGATGCGTGCCTTGATGTGAGTGATATTGAGTTGGCCACACCCAGCCAATAAACATGACCACCAAGCCATATCCACCCAGTCACATGACCACCAAGCCACACCCACCACCCAAGCCACACCCACAGAACTGGTTGTTAAAAATTTTGAATCCCATCCCTGATTATAAAACCAGTGGTAGAATTCAGCCAGTTCGCACCAGTTCAAAAGAACTGGTTGTTAGCATTCTGAGCAGGGTGCCACTGTGGCTCATATCTCATTGTCCAGGGTGCTAGATAAGAGTGAACAGAATTCAAGCTGGACTTAGAGACCACTTGTGGCAACTTAAGGAGTCCAGGTTGATGCCGTGCTTGGCTCCACCCAAGCCCTGCCTGAATTTCTCCGACACTCAGTTGGGATAGCAGATGCTGAAGAAAGCTACTACACGAATTAATTTGATTGGCAGCTGTCTCAGTCTGTCCAAGCATTCCCAGACACTTCTAGCTTTAAACTAGGATAGCTGTAAATGGGAAGGGTGGTTTTTAACTGGTTGAGGACCTTGGGGACATCCAATGGAATTTAGATGTTTTTCCTCCCCCCTCCAGACTTCTCTGACGTTGTAGCGATGGTAGCACATTTTTGGAGACCCTTTGCTCCATGGTTGCAAATAGCTCTTTAGAAAATAGTTATAGGGGAAGGGGAGGCTGGGTGCATGTTTTGCAGGCAAAGGATTCCACGTTCCATCCTAAGGTCTTCAGATGGCGCTGGGAGATAGTCTGAAACCCTCAAGAATGTCTACTATTTATGGCCGATCATGCTGCACCAGATAAGCCTATAGTTAGCTTCCATTTGTTTTTTACTACCAGTTCTGTGGACTTGGCTTGGTGGGCATGGCTTGGCTTGGTGGGCATGGCTTGGTGAGTGTGGCAGGGGAAGGATAGACTGCAAAATCTCCATTCCCTCCCCAGCCCACTAGCCTGCTTTCCAGCTCCATTCTCCTGCAAAGCAACCAAAGAAGACCCAGCCAATCCGCTGGGACTCAATGGGAGGCGGAGCATAGATGGGGAGGGGCCAGTCAGAGGTGGGATTGGCCGGTTCTCCGAACTACTCAAAATTTCTGCTACCGGTTCTGCAGAACCGGTCAGAACCGGCTGAATGCCACCTCTGGTTAGCTTGCTATAAAGCATCTTCTTGCGTTCTTCTCTTGAGTGTCTTTCATCTGCTTCTCCGTGGATGCCCGATTTCTGTTCATAATAAGAGGAGAAACGGCATTTTCTAAGAAAAGATTGCTTGGATGTCCTTCTCGGTGCTGTTTTTAGAAGCAAGCTTCTGCCCAGCGTATGAGAATTGATCTTAGTTTACTCTAAGTCACTGCCTGGAAAAAAAAAAAAAATAACAATAGCATGCTGCAAAAGGTCTTGAGAAAAATCCTCCCTTGGCTTAATGTTAATTAAAAAAGGAGAAGTGAAATCAGAGTGGTGTGTTTTTCGTCAGAGTTGTGACCTTTCTGTCACACCAGTGACTTCCAAAAGAAAATCCACGTTTCTTTCTTCAGTGACTTAAACATTCTTCTCCCTTTCTCCTCGTCTTTGATATAACTAATTGTTTCACATGCTCTTTGGAATTCCAGTGTTTTTTTGGCGGGGGGGGGGGGGGATGAATGAGCTCTGTGTCCCATAATCCTGAAGATTCTCTTGCGGCTCAGGCAGAAAGCTGTCAAGATTTCTGTTTTGCTTCTACCCAGAAGAGCATGAAAAGCTTGCCTTGTTCTATTTCCACTGGGTCAAGTTTGTATTTAAACCCCTTCTACTTATTTAATTTGATAACCGAAAGCAGAAGGCCCTCTGTTTCTTAGGTTTTTTTGGGGGGGACAAGATGGCGAGACAATTGGTCAGTCCTCAGTGGACTTCCCTGTGAGTTAGGAAGCTGGAGAAGAAAAGCTGCTAGGCCAAAGGAAGAGGTGGAAACCTTCAGACTTGATGTCCAAAACAAAGTTTATAACACCTTTATTCCATCAAATGGACAAGGAGGAGGAGGAGGAGGAGGGAAGGGAAGAAGAAAATGATGATGAAGAAGAAGAAGATGAAGAAGAAGAAGGGAGGAGGAGGAGGAAAAGAAGAAGAGGAAGGGAGGAGGAGGAGAAGGAGAAGAAGAAAGGGGGAAGAGGAAAAGAAGAAGGGAGGAGGAGGAGAAGAAGAAGAAGAAGGGAAGAGAGAGAAGGAGAGGAAGACAAAGAGGTAAGAAAAGGAAGAAGAGGAATAGGAAGGAAAAGAGGAAGAACCTTCTTTTTTTGCATTCTTCTTTTTCTCTCTAAGACCAGGAGAATGACGAGTAGGGGAAGGTTGAGAAATGCAGATTTGGGCAAGATTGGGAATGGGCTAATAAGGGTGAAAAAACCCATCTAGAGTGAAAAATACGATCCATGCAATTCCCTCCCAACATGGACTGATACGCAGAGCCATCTCTTGTTCTAAATCAATGCAGCCTTTTTCTTCTTCTTTTTTTATAAGTTGGACCAGTCGAATGGAAATGCTTTTATTCTCCTAAGATTTTAAGTGGGCAATTTGTGGTTGTGGCTTTTGGTGTTATTTTTAGGAACTGTTTTTCTTCGGTTTTGTTGCTTGCGTTTTTTGAGCCTCTCCCCTGCCTTCGTCCGGAACTTCTGAATAGATGCTAGACGAAATGATTCATCCGAATTCTTCTGAAGTTCTCTTCACCTTTCTAGGGACGCCAGATGGTTTACATTTTAACCTTCCCTGGAACAGAGACACTTGTAACTGTTGACCGTTGTCCAACTATTGACGTTGAACAGCATTGATTCAAGGATAGGGGATATAAAGCTGACATCGCACCAGAAATCCAAGGGTTAGCTGTGATGGAGGATGGTGGCAACCAAGTTTGATGGAATCATAGAATGATTCCGTTCTGTGGAAAGGGACCTTGGACCTTGGTCTTCTAGTCCAAACCCCTATCCAAAGTATCCTGGACAACTGGTTGTCCAATCTTTTCTTGAGAACCTCCAGTGACGGAGCATCCACAACTCCAGGAGGGTGGCTATTCCATTGATTAATCATTCTTGCCATTAGGAAATTCCTTCTTTTTTCCATGTTGGATCTGTCTGATGAGTTTCCATCCATTGTTTCTTGTCCTGCCCTTGGGTGCTATGGAGGATAAATCACCCCCTCTTCCCTATGACAGCCCTTCAAATATTGGAAAACTGCTATGGAGTTGTCGCCTCCTCCTCCTCCTCCTTCTCCCTCCTCCTCCTCCTCTTGCTGTTCTTCTTGATCTTGTTCTTGTTTTTGTTGTTGTTGTGTTGTTGTTGCTGTTGTTGTTGTTTTTCTTTCTTTCTTCTTCTTCTTCTTCTTCTTCTTCTTCTTCTTCTTCTTCTTCTTCTTCTTCTTCTTCTTCTTCTTCTTCTTCTTCTTCTTCTTCTTCTTCTTCTTCCTCCTCCTCCTCCTCCTCCTCCTCCTCCTCCTCCTCCACCTCCTCCCTTTTCTTCTTCCTCTTCTTCCTCTTCTTCTACTTCCTCTTCTTCTTCCGCCTCCACCCTCCTCCTCTTCCTCTTCTTTGTTTTCCTCCACTTCCTCCTCCTTTTCTTCCTCCTCTTCCTCCTCTATCTGATGGAGATCCAAGTCTCCTAGTTCTACATCAAACAGGTCTTGGCAATGAAGATCTTAATAGCTAAATTAACGTCTACTCTCTATTTTCCCAATTGTCTTTGAGTAACCAGATCCCTCTACAATTTCCCCATCCAGCATATGATTCCAATGCTGTCTTTGGTCCTGCTTTTTTGAGAGGAGAGACGAGCGCTGTAAATCCCTCTGCTTTTTCAAACATCTCCATCAGTTAATTCCTTTCTCCCCAAAAATGTAATCCAACCACCCTTTCTCGAGATGCATTAGGCAAACAAGCTGGGCTGCTCAGCTGTTCCTTCTGTGCCTCTCTGGCTTTGTGTTGTCTATTTAAACCCCAACAGAATGTTGAAACTTTGGCCCTCTGACCCCTGCCAACCTCTTGGAATGGCCGAGTTCAGTTGACTGTCATTCCCATCGTGCTGTGGTTAATCCGCTCTAGTCTTCCAGCAAGAAAATATCTTTGTAAAAGAAAGGCAGGCCGGTTCTAAAAGGTCCTTCCTTAGCAAGTCGGGAGAGATCTAGTTTCTTGAGAAGAAGGCAAGGTTTCAGCGTCCGAAGGCCCTCCAGTTGTGTGCAGCTCCCAGGAATGCTTTCACAGCCAAGGAAAAGATTAAGGCAACCGTAAGATTCAGCAGAAGAAAAACTATAGGACCAATAAAGGAGGATATTTGCAGCTCAGGGTAGAAATCAGGAGTCCTTGGTGCTCTCTGAGCTTGGGTGCTTTCTTGCAGGTGTTTCATGACCCAACTGGGTAACATCATCGGTGCTAGATGAGAATTGCATGGGGAGGGGGGACGAGGAGGAGGGGGGAGGACTGTGGGGTCCTCAGTGATCCCAGAGCTTGGGTGCTTTCTTGCAGACATTTCATTACCCAACTAGGTAACATCATCGGTGCTAGAAGGGAGAAGAGTTTGCTTCTTGTTTATATGTTCCCTGTCAAGACAAGCCACTAGTGTGTAACAAAAGAGCAACCCCCCCCCCCTTATAGCACTGATGATATTACCTAGTTGGGTAATGAACTATCTGCAAGAAAACAACCAAGCTCAGAGCACCAAGGGCCCTTCAAAAATTAGGAACCCTCTACAACATAAATGTAAGGACAGCTGCTATGTAGAACAAAGAGACACCGATTAGCAGTCAGAAGACAGGATCAAAGCACCTTAATTTCATGACACATGGACAGATTTCACTATAGTTTCAACCAGGCAACTGTGAGCATCCTAGACCAAGCCAAATCCAAAATCTCTGGAGAATTAATGGAGAAGGAGGAGACTCAAGATGTACTTGCAGACTAAATATGCATAACATAACATACTCTTTGCTGCTTGCTTTCTGGGCCGTCCTTCCAGCATGTTTTCCTATAAGATATTTAGAAGACTGTTATAGTCAGTGGCTTTGCCTGGGAGTTGGTCAATGTTGTGAGAAAAAAAAATGCAGGCATTACAACCTCATTGGATTGCAAATTTATTTCAAGCGTTGCAACCTTCTGTGTGGATTGACTGCATCACTGGACATGTGATGATAGACCAAGAGTGTTACATTTCACGTCAGACTCTCTTGTCTGGTGTGAAAGTTGTTTTATTACCTCTGGGGTTCAGTCTGGATCTTCGTTGGCCAAGGTCTTGATTTGTGTTTTGTTGTAAATGAGACAACTGAGTCATCCTTTGATGTTGGATGACTCAGGGTGGCACTAGATTCCTTTCCTTCTCTATTTTTGTATTGTCAGACTTTGACAGAGAAAGCAGGGGATGGGTGTCAAAGCTTCACTGACAGGTCAGTCATTCTAACCAAATGCCAGTCTACCCAAAACTACCAGTTTGGAAAGGGATGCAAATAGCAATAACAAAAGGACTTAGACTTCTATACCTCTTTACAGTGCTTTACAGCTCTCTCTCTGTGGTTTACAGAATCAGCTTATCACCCCCAACCATCTGGGTCCTCGTTTTACCCACCTTGGAAGGATGGAAGGCTGAGTCAACTTTTGAACTCCTGGCAGTGGGCAGAGTTAGCCTGCAATTCTGCATTCTAACCACTGCACCATCATGTCTCTTTGTGTCCCTGGTGATCGAAAGGGCAAGCACTTTATGCCCTTAGAGAAGTTGGTTTCTCAACAGTTGCAAAATTTCTGGATGACCTTCCAGTTTGAGTTCTAGGGAAGCTGCTTCTCTTTCAGATGGCTAGACTTGGTGACTTTTAATTAGTTCCCCAGTCTGTCTTTTGAGGCAACTCTGCTTCCGTCTGCATGGCCAATTATGAGAAAAATATTGCCTCAACAGAGTGGGAGTCATCCTGGCCTTCCGTTTTGTGTAATTCTATAAGGATGTATAAACATGGAAAGGAATAGAAGGGTATGTAGGAATGACCTTGAGAGGAAGAAGAGCCACAGGCTAGACCAGAGGTCTCCAAACTTGCAACTTTAAGACTTGTGGACTTCCAGGATTCTGGAAGTTGAAATCCACAAGTCTTAAAGTTGTCAACTTTGGAGACCTCTGGACAAGACAATAATTAGATAAGAGGCAACTGAGCCCACAGAAGGAATTGAAGCATATCAGAAGAGACCCTCCCTAGTTTCTTGGACCCTATAGGTGAGGGGAAAAAAGGTTTCATATTTGCTTTCTTTCAAAGTTGCAAGATGGGTGTAAGCTCTTCAAAACAGTCTGCATAAGAAGCACACCCAGGAATACTAGCTCCAGTCTTTAATGTAAAGTTACGTGATCAGAATTTTGCAATAGGCCAATCTGGTAAACTAACCAGGAATGGCATGTGGGAATCACCTCAGGAGACAGGAGAAAGAGCCATAGATAAGACAATGGTCAGATAAGAGACGACTTAGCCCAGGGAAGGTATTAGGATGTAGTAAACATCTCAAAAGAAACCCTCCCTAATTTCTTGGATGTAAAGGTGGAGAGTGGAGAAGATATATTTTCAGACTTGCAAGAATCTGTTCCTGTAACCTTACAATAAAATTAGAGTTGGTACTTATGGGTGGACTTCTTGCCTGGAGGACTACCTCACGTGGCTGACAAAGAGTGTATGTAGATGTATCGATGAACTCACAACCCACCTGGGTCAGCAAAGAAATAGACGGCTTTCCTTTTCAGTTTTCAATTTTTATTTATGCCTGGGAAGTCTATAGAGCAGTTGGCTGAAAGTGTCTTAGGGTGTATTTTGCAACATTAAAATGTGACTCTGGATTGATTCAAGGCACGTTGGATGCCTACAAAACTGGATCTAAGAATGAAACTTCTTATTGGCATAAGGACAAGATGGATCTTACAGTTTTCATCCCCCCAAAGAAAGAAAGATTGCAAATCCATGACTTGTGTGACAGTGTTACAAGTTCTTTGATTTTCAAAATACATCCACCCAAAGCTGGTAAACAGTCTATCACACAAGTCCACATTTCAGGATAGTAAATGCTGGTCCCTTTGCCATTTGTTTTTTTTTAAAAAAAAAAATCTTTTTTTTTCAAGTGTATCTTGCCTGCCAAAATACTCCAGCTGCAAGGAACACTTTAAAAACAACTTCACTTGAACCAGGGAAGTTGTGCTAAGCTACAAAGTCAAACCTGAGCAACAATTGGCTAAATGCCACCCACGTTCATAAACGCCCGCCAAGTTATCTTGGAGAATATCCGGCTGATGAATGATCCCTTCCTTTTCCAGAACATTATGCCAACAAGCTCTTTGTAACAGAAGGGTGAGGGAGAGTTTGGGGGTAAAACAGAGGCTTTACAAGATCCCAAGTCCAAGTTAGAAAAATTCCACTTAAAAATCCAAGAAGCCTTTTATTGGTGGTGACACAACAACTCTGTGAAGTGATGGTTCTTTTTTTTCCTTGCTTTGAATCTTTAAATTCATTCTCAAAGAAGTTATTTTGGAGGCAGTTTCCTCATAGCAGTGCTCCAAATCTTGTTCTTGGCTACCGTTTGGCTAACAAGTTTCTGAATATTATTATTGTGTTTTCGTCCACTTCTAGGTGGCCAAAGTGGAATATGTTAGAAGAAAACCCAAATTAAAGGAAGTTCTGGTGAAGTTAGAAGAGCACATGGAATGCACTTGTACAATGTCAAATTCCAATCCAGATTTTCGAGAAGAAGAAACAGGTAGGTTGGAGTAGATCAAGAGACTGAAGTTGACGGGTGTTGGATGTGACAGGGTTTTCTGACGTTCTCTAGGAGTCTCGAGCATTAAGCATCTGGAAACGAGAAACATGCTTGTGATAACCACAGCAATGGAAAATAGTTCATGTTGCTTAAATCTACACGTTATGAATCTTAGCATAGGGGGATACGTCTTTTTCAAGACTAAGAAGTCTTGTGCTTAATTCTGGGCCTTTTGAGAAGGATTTTGACAAACTAGAATGGCACCCAAAAGATGGATAGGGATGGGGAAATTAAACTTTTCAAGGAAAGGCAAAGGAATTGGGGCATGAGAATGTAGAATTTGGGTTTGGTGTTCTCTTAGGGGTATCCCAAAGGTTTGAAGGATGGGGAGGAGCTGGTATTTAATAATGTTTATATATTGATTGATATTAAAAGTGGGTTGGTGGGTTGTCTTTCTCCTGCACTTTCTTTTTATGGTTCTGTTACGATTACTGATATTATTATTTTTCATGTGCCTTATACATTTTATAACGTTTTGGGCAGCTTTCAAGGTTTCTGATGAAGCACTAAAACTGACTCCCAATCTTTTGTTTCGAGAGTACAATCAAACCCAGCTGAGATATGTCAGATAAAATAACTTTAAATCCATTTATTTGCATGTCAGGAGGATTAAAATTAACCCCTGGGATTATCTGATATTAACTGCAGATAACCACGGGTGCCTATTTCATCCCATGTTTAGGATTATACACCATGAATGGTGGATATATCTTCCCTAAAGCTTGTAAGTCTTGTGTTCAATTCTGGACCCTTTGAGAAGAGCTTAAGATAGAATTGAACGGACACCAACAAGATGGATATGGATGGGGAAACGAAACTTTTCAAGGAACGATGAAGGAATTGGCATGAGGAGATAAGAGTTAGGATTTGACGTCCTCTCAATGGTGTCCATAGAAGAAGTCCATGATTTGTTTGCCGTGGTCCTCAAAGAAGAACATGGAATACAGGCACTAAGAATCCCCCAAATTCGATCTGGATGTTAGGAAAATCCTTCTAGAACAGACCAACAATGAACAATGTAGAGAGGTGATATTCTCTCCTTCATTAGATACGTTAATTTGAATTTCTACAGTAAGGAAGCAAGTAGCTAAGGACCTCATTAGCTCTTTCTAACTCTGATTTTGATCAGCGTGTTATTCTGTAAAAAATGATTTGTTCCAATGGTTCTTCTCTGAGAAGAGATTATTTTATTCCTTTGCTTCCATAAATGCATGGCCTTTGTGGCTTATTTGTTTAATATACCAATGCTGCCATTATGTCAACAGGCAGACGTAGGAAAAAAGGTAAAAAACGACGGAAATGGTTAAAACCCTCCTTAAAATGGAGCCCATGACCAGGTACGATCCATATACAGAAACTGCCTTTAAGATCACAACCAATAGAAAAACAAACAAAATTGGGCTATTATTCTTACCTTATTTGATAATTATTTAAGATTCTGGGCGTTGGCTGTTGCCGGAAAGCAATCAAATGTGATTGGCTAAGCTCAATCTTTTCTCCTTGAAGCTACATCTGCAGATGTTCCATTCTGAGGTGGCTATCCTTGATGCTTTAAAAATGATTGATCTGGAGGCTAATCAATGCTGATATGTAATTATTGTTGATTTGGAAGGATCAGTTGGTTCTTGAGAACTCTACGGATGGATGTCAAATTTTTCTTTTGTTGGAGATATTTTGCAGTGGCTAGATTGCTAGCCTGTGGGTTTCTGCATGTTTTTTTAAGTAATTCTTTTTAACCAAAAGAAAGCTAGGTAGGAAACTGACATGCCACAGAATAAATCCACCGTCTTGGGAAGATGTAGTCATTTGTAAAAATGGGTCCATCAAGGCTCCATCCCTAATTCGAAAAATGAAGATGCTAAGTGAGTGTTACTCAGTGAAGGCCCATTTCCCTAAAATATGGGCCTAATTAAACGGGAGTTGTTGAATGTTCTCTTAGGAGGGGTTGCTAGGTAACCTTCTGATTTGGGAGCATTTTGGCCTTCATGATGGGAAGTCCATGAGATGCCCTCAACATTTCAAATCCATCTCCCTGGCCCAGCAGTGGGACCGTACCTGTTCCACTACCGGGTCGGTGATCATCTGCACAGCTTTCCCCACACCAGCTGAGACCTGCAGCGCCAATCATCTGAGAGGATAAAGGAGAGAAAAGCACAGAGGCAGGTGGGCGGGCCGATCATGCGCTTTTCTCTTCTTTCTCCTATCAGCTGATCGTCAGAGGCTTTTTTTTAAACTATCGGTTTGGCTGGACTACCGGTTCAGGCGAACCAAGCCAAACCGGTAGCATACCCCTCCACTGTCCTGATCCCGCACTTTCTCTGCCTCATCATCTGGACTTCCAACCTTATGATGGCCTTCAGATTTCAGTTCTCAAGTCAGGTGAATGAAGCTGCCAGCTTTATGAGCAACTTATATTTGGAGCATGGAAAGGAGGGGAAACAGGCCCAGAACTGATGGATAGGAATCTCTTTTTTTCCTAGAGATTTGAAACCCAATTGGATATAGAAGGTGGTCTTTGGTATATGTCCTTGAAGGCCCCAGCATTGAACTTGGGACCTCGTTAAGCTTTCCTTGGGAAGGAGGAAGGGGAAGACAAAAACCGTTTGCCTGATTTGAGCTCCCCCAGAAGCATCTATTTTGGAGACCAAGAAATTAATTCCAGTAGAACCACCACTTTGGAGTTTGTATTTTTGGAGGAAGTATAGTTTGTGGAACCAATTCTGTTTTGTTGGTTATAAAATTTATTTTATTTTATTTATTTATTTGAAGCTGATGGTCTTTAGCTTGATTTATGATCTCCAGCAAATAATGATTTGATCCAACAATTCTTTAATTACGGATCTTTCTTTCTTTCTTTCTTTCTTTCTTTCTTTCTTTCTTTCTTTCTTTCTTTCTTTCTTTCTTTCTTTCTTTCTCTTTCTCTCTCTCTCTCTCTCTCTCTTTCTCTCTTTCTTTCTTTCTTTTTCTTTTACAGATGTCAGGTGAAAATAAGCTAGAAAAGATTTCTTTCCGGGACTCGAATGTACAGGATCTGTTACATTCCTGAACCTACGCTGTATGGTGCTTTCTGGATAAATACTTCACTCATCTTCCTATCTGGGGGGGAAAACTGGTTGAGAGAGAGAGAGAAAGAGAGAGAGAGAGAGAGAGAGAGAGAGAGAGAGAGAGAGAGAGAGAAGAGGGGGGAGGGAGGGAGAGAGAAACACACAATGACACACACAGACATACACACTCACTTCACCAGAACACAAGAGACAAATGTATAGTTGTTTAATTATGACATCGCAGGAAGTACTGTAGCAGTCTGCAAAATAATACGACGTTTCCCTATCCATGAAATCGAGAAACAGTGACGTGAATGGAATGAGAAGAAGATGAGGATGAACAATGAACACTACGTGGACAGCAGACTTCCTAAAAAAACTGTCAATGGTGCTTTTATTTTATTCCCCTCTTGTCCGTTTTATTTTTCTCGAGAAATGTGCCCGAGGCCAAGATGCTGACGGACAGATTCAAATGGAGTTTGGAGACACGCACACACACATACACACAAACAACAACGGCACAATGATGACAACCACCAAGGAAATGTATCAAATGCCAGGGCAGAATCTAGAGTGGGTTTTTTTTAATTTTATTTTAATTTTAATTTTTTTTGGCTTGGTGATTTAAAAGTCTATTAAAAAAATCCATCTGGGGCGCCTTAAGTGTTCGTTTTATTTGGGGTTGTGTTTTTTTTTTTTACACCATCAAGTTATTGAGCTTTTCTTTTTATTCTTTTGCCTAGCATTTTATTATCTCTCTCTTTTTTTTTTGTTTTGGACTACATTTACCAATAATCCGATATAAGAGACTGGTGTAGCGGCAATGAAATGGGATCATGCAAGACTTTGGCGTTTTTATTTCTCCTAGCAGGGGGTGCAGACTAATGAAATGTATTAAAATAAAAATGGTATACCTATGCATAATTTTCTAAATGTTTCTTGGTTTGTCTACCCTTTTTTCCTTTCTCCCCTGGCCTCTTCCTTTTTCACAATATATTATTTAAAGCAAGTATTTGGGTTTCTTCCCCACCTCTCCTTTGCCCTTCAGAGAGTTGCTGAAGCAAGATGGCGGACAGGCTTCATTGGATGATGTCATGGTTGCCATCTTTTCTTGGAGAGTATAGCCAAGAAATGATGGACAAACTGTTGGGAAGTTTCCTAACAGTTAGAACAATTAACCAGTGGAACGGCTTCCCTCTAGAAGATGTAAATGCTCCAACACTGGAGTTTTTTAAGAAGAGATTGGACAACCATTTGTTTGGAATGGTGTAGGGTTTCCTGTTTGGGCAGGGTGTTGGAGTAGAAGACCTCCAAGATCTGTTATATTCTGTTAACTGGAAGGTATTGGTTTGTGATCACTTACTATAAATCATATTTACTTAAATTTCATGGCTCAAAAGCAGAGCCCAATCATGAGAAAACTTCAAGATGATTGGACGAAGAATGCTAATTCTTACCCTCTAGAGAATGCAAAGTTGTGTCTTCAAATGAATGTTTAATTCTCAATGGGGTTCAGAGGTTCCATAAATTCCTTGGTTTTCTTGAAGATGCAGAGTTGGAGAATAATTTTTAAGAATGTTGACAAAAGGCTTGGTGTGGGTAAGCGAGCACTAGGTTAAATGCAAGTAAAACCAAACCAAACCTTTGTGGGAAAACCAACTCATTTTGCTGATTTCATCTGTTCAGTGGTGTGAGATGTACAAAATTCTTCTTGTTACTCCTACTGTATTGATATCGCTGTGGCCTGGAACACCTTGCTGGAAAACATAAAATTCTTTATTTTTGGTATTAAACAAAGAGAAAAAAAATGCTTTATGTGTATTCAAAAAAATTAGTGTTTTCTTTTTTGGGGGGTATGTGTGTTAAATGTGATGTTTGTATTTTTTAATCTAAAATGAATGGTTTTCTATACCCAAGAAATCCTGCTTTGTTTTTTTGAGCCAGAATATTAAAAAAAAACAACAACCCGAAAGAGATTGGGATATGCATTTTATGGACATATTTTTCTAGCAGAGATAGCTTATCTCATTTAAAGTATATTTATTTTATTAGGAAAAAGAGAAAGATGTAAGTATGGTGTCCTATATTTCCAAAGGAGGAGAAATGGGTTGGTTGTATGTGAGAATATGTCAGCCAATGGTGGTGGATCTTCCACGACCTGCTTTCCACCATCACTGGTTGAGATCCTTCCATCAAGGACAGAAATGGGATCGAGTCTTAGTCCAGTTCAATGGGCCTTGAGTTCCTTTCTCGTTGATTTTGGCTCAGATAGCTGAAGGTCAACTTTCCTCTGAAAATATAGGACTCAATAATATATTGATAGCCCAGCTAGCCAGCTTGTTTTTAATTTGTCAGATGACCTTCCTTGACTTGGGTTACTGTGTATGGCACTGTGAAGAAGAAACCTCTAGGGGGGTTCTTCTGTTAGACCCTTTCAGCTAAAATAGCTTCAGGGTTTGATCAGGTTGGGCAAAAGGGTTGTGGTGGTAGAAAGGGAAGGAGAAAGAGAGGTTTTTTGACCAGGAATTCATGACAGAACAAGACCTCTGCAAAGAACCTGTCTCCTGGTAGCTACCATCATGGTTGTGCAGGTGACAGAAGAAGTCCATAGTCCATGAGATCGTGTTTCTGGGAGTTAACCATAGGGGACATTGGCTGAATCCAGGATGCAGAAATAATAAAAGTGTTTAATTGAAGACTTCCTGTGCTGTACAGTGAAGGTTAACATCCTATCTCATCCTATCTTATAATCCTCAGATTTCTTGGCTTAACTTCCCTGTGTCCTTTTTTGTACTGGAGAAGGCCGAGAAATAAGCAGAACCAGTGCAGGATGGTGCTTAATGGAGTTTGACTTGGTCTTGGGAATCTGGAACAAAGTCCTTGGCCATCCAGGAAGCTCACAGTGTGGCTAGGACCTTATCTTTCTTTCTCTCTCAATCCAGTCTACCTCGTGGGGATAAAACAAAAGGAGATGTCCCTTTAGACTCTTCTTGAGGAAAGTCAATGAATAAAGCTGAATTAAACATGGAGAGTTGAGATGCCTAGAATAGTCAGGGAAACCTCAAACCTTCCCATTATTGCAAAGTGGGCCATGGAGAACTCAAATATGGAATTTATAGACGGGAGTTGTGTTTTTCTCTTCCTCTCCTGCTCCCGATAACTTTATTATCATTGTGTTGGTTGTATGAAATCTTACCAAAACAGTTCCAAAGAAACCAGTCCCAACATCTATGTCTGAACAGGTTTCTGTTTCCAATTTGTGCTTTCGGATGTGGATGTGTTTTTATGTGTCCAATGTTAAACGAACTCCGTGTCCTTCCATGGACGGCAATATGACTGACGTTACCTTGATTTTATTCTTGATCAACATTGGATTTGGTTGCCGGTTTAAATTATTATTATTTGCCTCTCTTGGTGTTAAAATCGATCAAACAAACTTGGGTGCTCACACGTTTATTAAAGTAATTGGAACGAAAAGGAAGTTTTCCTTTGGATGATTGCTTGGATTTCAAAGTCCCATTCATTCAAAATCTGGATGTATTGAGAAAGGAAAATACCTTACTAAAAATATCTGTGGGTGTTTTCCTATAAGTGTAACTCTCAGTGTTCTGTATGTGCTATGTGAACAAGGAAAAACTGTATAAAAATGAATTTATATATTTATGGTTGAAATGGTGATGTTGCTTTGAACTTGATTTCGCTCCCCTCGAAAAACATAACAAAACAAAACCTTCCACACACTCATTAAAAAAATAATAATACAGGAGGCCAAAGGTTTAGAAAAATATCAATTTATCTCAAGTGAAATTTAAAATCAAATCAAGGTTGCTCATAATTTTATAGTCCATTAATTCTGGTTAGAGGGAGAAGAAAGGAAAGAAGAGGCGAAGGAAGGGAGGGAGGAAATTGGGAACGAAGAAAGGAAATGGGGACGGAAGGAAGGGGAGAAGGAAGGGGAGAAGGGAGGGAAGGAGAAAAGGAAGGGTTAGAAAAGGAAGGAAGGAAGGAAGAAAGGAAGGAAGGAAGAAAAGGATCCTGTATTCTCCCATTAGAGACAATCCCTGGGAACACCAGAGATTCATTCAAAACACTCTAATTATGCAAAAGCAATGGGAAACTCTGGTTACATCCATATAAGATCTTTTCACTGCCCCTTCAGATCAATTCCAAATTTGGCTGGGTAATTCTGGGGGTTGAAGTCCACCCATCTTCAATTTCTATGGGGAGTCTCCATTATCCAGGTCAAGATTGTCCCAACGGTGCTTTTCCGAAAGGAAACTGGACTTCCTTGGGGTTGTTTTTTTTTCCTTTGAAAACCAAGTTCTGAAGAAGCTTCTTGGATGAGAAGCAAAACGTTTCCAATGAGTTAAAAAAAACCCCGCAGGCTCTGGTTCTAGGTGAGGCTACAGCCATACCGACACCTTTGGCTGCCCCTTACCTCCTCCAAGCAAAACCAGGGTAGCTTTTTAGCTGAAGAACCCAACTCAAAACACGGAATGAAATGAAACCAATACCCTCTTTCACTCAATGAGATTTCCCTCGATAAAATAAACCTTTTGTGATCAGTCCTTTTGCCCAATTAGCCCGGAGACCAATCTGGCATCTTGCTTTCTTTGGTTTCCTGGGTTGGAATGAAAATCTATACTTGTACATCTGGCATGGCTTGTGTGAAATAAGAATTCAGTTCCCAGGAGCCTGGCTGGGCCAGGCCCGGAGGTTTCATATTACGATGCTAACTTCTAACAATTTTTGGCCAGCTCTGCTGTTTCTTGATAATTTCACGCAATGCTCAGGGGATTGAGGGGATTCGTGCATTCGGCGATAGAGAGGTTCTCACAGTCAGGCTATCCTTCATGACTCTTTTTTGCCCCCCCTCCCTCTCAACCCACCCCCCAAAATTGGGATGGGCAATCGACCTCCTGCAGGCTTTCTCATTGGGATGCTGCTGTGAAGAAAGGACATGTTCTAAAATCTGTTTGTTGGTTTTTCTAATTGGCATTTGTGGACATCCCAGAAATATGCAACTTCTCGTATGGACACCCAAGGCAAAGCCTGAGAGGCCCTGGGTCCAAATGTCCTCAGACTTGGGGATACCCATCATCCTAGGCCATTGATGACTGTTGATGGGACATCTGGACAGCGTGCAATGTTACCTTGGCAAAGTCTTAAAAACACCTTGGTGAAGGACACAGTGGTGTCCTTAGCTATATTTTTAAGGCAGTTCAAATTAATATAAAGGTTTATTGCAAGCTTAAGCTCTCTGCTTGGTCTTGGGAATCTGGAACCAAGTCCTTACCCAACCATGAAGCTCACAGCCTGGCTCCAACCCCATCTTTCTTTCTGTCTCAGTCCAGTGTACCTTGTGGGAATAAAATTAAATATGAACTACTAGCAGTCAAAGCAAATTGGCGGTAGATAAAAGTCAAAGAAGGGATGGTTGTCCTATCTGCAAAGCAGCAGAAGGCAGGACAAGAAGCAATGGATGAAAACTAATCAAGGAAAGAAGCAAGTAAGACTTGACGCTAATGACCCTTGGGCTCAGCCTGGTCATTTCCTATTTCTTCCTTGGAGAGCACTGTCCTATTCAGATAGTCCTGCTGATTTAAAAAAAAAATGCATGCAGGGGTACCTGGATTTGTGTGGATTTAATAAGTATCAAGTTGGCATCTACAGTTGTAAACACAATAGTTCTCAAGTTACAATTTACAATGTTTAGCAACCATTCAAAGTTACAATGGCACCGGAAAAGGTGACTTACAACCTATCCTCATATTTATACAGCTATTGCATCCTCACCAAGGTCACATGATCAAAATCCAGGTGCTTGCAACCAAGGTGTATTTACGATGGTTGCAGTGTCCCACAGCTAGTGGAAAGAACCTTGTCAGCTGGAATTTCTACTATCAAAATAGACGTATTTCCACGTTACAGATGCATTATTTTACCATTATATCTTGCAATGCTCATTCACTCTTCCCCTGGCTTTAAATATAAAACAGTAATATAATGAAGGTTTAGCTGCTGCCTAATTCATATATAGCTGGACTTTATGCAACTATAGGCAAAAACAATAATACTAGAATTATAATCTCTAGGACTTCCAATAACTGATACCTCACATCCTCTGTTGAGTTATTTTGTCCCAGTTCCTCACTCAGGGCAGTTTTTAGAAAGTTGAATGAACTTTCCAAATGATTAAGCTGGCTGCCAGTAAAAGAAATTACATTCTTTTGCAAATATGGACAGCGTGAGATGGAATGGGGAAAAAAACAGACTTGCTTTATCAGAACTTGCAGCTGTCTTCAGGTAATTAGATTTTCATGGTTTCAGTGTTGAATATGTTCCATCAGGATTCTACGGTTTTGTTCTCTGGTGTCTGTGAAAATAGGCTTTGTACACAAGTGTCTGTGTTTCTAACATGTCTTTCCTTATATATGGATTATCTGTCTGTCTGTCTGTCTATCTATCTATCTATCTATCTATCTATCTATCTATCTATCTATCTATCTATCTATCTATCATCTATGAAAATGTATATGGCTTTATTTATTTATCTCAGTGACTTTGGGTGGTTTACAAGAATAAAAACACAATATAAATTCAATAAAACAGCATTAACCCTCACCACGTTGGCAACGACAATCAAACAGTCAATTGACAGGCTCCATCTCATTGTCGTTAGTTGTGAAGTTGTGTCTGACCCATCACAACTCCATGGACAACGTTCCTCCAGGCCTTCCTGTCCTCTACCATCCACTGGAGTCCCTTTAAGCTCACGCCGACTGCTTCAGCGACTCCATCCAGCCCC